CTATGTAGCATATATATGTCCATTGGATTTAGGTTAAATGGTTAGGATGTTAATTATAGTTTTTTTCTTGATTTATTCAACCCAATTTTCCATTTTTGAACATTGACTTTTTAATAATTGATAAACTAACTAAAATTAACCTATATAGCATATATATGTCCATTGGATTTAGGTTAAATGATTAGGATGTTAATTATAGTTTTTTTTTCTTGATTTATTCAACCCAATTTTCCATTTTGAAATATTGACTTTTTGTAAAAAAATTCGTTTTACTTTCTTTCTAAAACTTTTTTAGCTTTTATCGAATCAATCGAATATCAATTCCATAGATATTCAGCTAGCTGTAGAGCATATACGGATTGTAAAATACAAAAACGGATCGAATCACGGATATCAAAAATAAAATCATGATAACCGTTCTATATACTCCCTTATCAACAACTATAGGCAACTAAACATACTCAAAGCAATTTGCATTGTTCACTAAATATATGAGTATATTAAAACGAATGAGACTATATAAATAAGATAACAATAATATCTTATATATCATGGAGGAACAAGAACCACATTTTTATGTATGTTACTATTAAATAAAATTTTCAGCGTAAGATCAAGCAACGATTATGTAACCCACCAGAAGCTGAAGCAGCTCTCCTAGCTTCCTCAACGAGAGCCGCACGTGCCGACGAGATTCCGGCAGGGACAAGACACGTATCAAACGTTGAACAATCGATCCAATCCTTAAGAAGCTCTTCTTGTCCCCATATATCCGGTATCCAAACCCTACCGGCGATCTCTCTCCGGTGCTTCTTTAGCCTCTCTCTCCCGGTAGTGACCACTCTCTCTTCTTCTTGGTTACGTTTCTGTTTCTCTTCAGGCAAAGTTTGATCTTTCTTATCGGAAACAGAAGAAGCTTCGTCGGACAAACTTGGTTCTTGTTTGGTTTGGTCGGAAGGAGGATGAGATGGGTCGATCGGGTGGGCCATTGGAGACGTCGTATCGTCGATGATGTTCATCATGATGATACACAATAGTAAAGGAGATTCAGATTCTTGGAGAAAACAAAAAATGAAGAGAGATTGTTTGTGTTTGAGATTCGGTGTTGATAATATATATGTATATTTTTGTTGGGTTATATGTAAAGAAGGAGAAAATTGGGTGGGAGTTTGTGTTACACGTCGACTTAAGTTATTGTTTGGTGAAATTTTTTTCCTTTAGCTTTTTGTTTTTTGTATGGTAAGTGACAACTTTACGTGTCTTTTTTGTAGATTGGATTGCTTTGGCTCTTAATTTTTGGAATTTAAAATAAATAAATAAATAATCAGCATAAAATTTTGGTTGTTGATTACACATTCTTATTAATATATGTTTCCATTCTAATTTCAAGTTTACCTTCTTTTTTTTTTTTGAAAATTAAGTTTACCTTTTTTGCAAGTGATCAAGTCTTCACCAAAAAATTAAGCTTCAAAACAAAAAAAAGTCTTCACAAAATTGGGGTTTAGATAATTTCTTAGGCAAAACTCTCAATTAGAGTATCCTTAAGAAGAAGAGATTCAGGAGAAGTATTTTTAGAAGAGTCATACTAAATAATTCATGGGTTTCATAGAGATTCCTCATAAGAAGATTTGGTGCAAATGGTTTGCACAAGTGGAATTGGTGGAATATCGTGAGTCGAAAATGAAGAAGTAGAAAAATAA